CCACGATAAAACCTTCCCACTAGAATCTACCACTTGCAAGACGACACAGACTATAACTCACGCTTCGTAAGTGCAAGAACAAACCTAAACCACCTGTAACCAACCGCAGGTAATTGTCACGTAACGGGACACTCCGCCACCGCCCGCCTTCAGTCAGGACGGCGGCGCTCCAGAACGCGCGAACGCCGCGGCTCGGGGGACGGCGGCGGGGAGCGCAAGCATCCCGCTGTCAGCGGGGAGCGCAGGCTGCGGCGCGGCGGGAGCCCGCGGAAAGCTCCCCCGCCGCGGGCGGCTTCTTCGGGACGTGTGCGCGTACACTTACACAGGGAAAAGTCTGCCGGTTTTCGTTGGTTCTTTTTTAAAGTTACTCTCGGGTGAGAGGCGCGCTTGGTGCCTTCCCCCCCGCTCTCGCCCCCCGGGCCGGAGGCAGCGCCTGCCCCGCAGCCCCGCCGCGCCCGGGCTCACCTCGATGAGCCGCTGCAGGGCGGGCCCCTGCAGGCAGGTGTGGTTGGCCAGCAGCCCCCAGTGCTCCCGGAGGAGGTTCTGGGCCGCCTGCACCTCGGCCGGCCGCTCCAGCGCCTGCAGCACGGCGGCGCCCAGCCCCAGGTATCCCACGTATGCGGCCAGCAGCCCCAGCACGCCCCAGCGCCGCCGCCGCCGCGCCGCCACCATCGGCCCCGCTGCCGCCGCCGCCCCGGCGCTGCAGAAGCGGCTCGGCCCGGGGCGGGAGGAGGGCAGCGCCGGGCCGGCAGCGCGCCCGGCCCCCAGCACCTCCCCCTGCCTGCCCCTTCCCCGCTCAGCGGCGAGCCGGGGAGCCCAGAGCCCTGCTGGGCAGCGAAGGTGGTCGTGCCGCTCGTCTTGCGGCAGCCCACCCCACCGCCCTCGTCCTTGTGCGCCGCTCCACGTCCCACCTGTGTGTCCGGAGCGCGGGGCTGCCCAGGGCTCCCTGCTCCGCGCCGCTTCTCCCTGAGCTGGAGCCGGCTCCGAGCCGCGTTCGCTCCCCCGACGGATGCTACCCATTCCCTCTCCCGACAAACCCGAGTGCTTCCCTCTCCAGCTGGCGCTACTTAGAGAGCAGTACGCTAGCAGTCTACGTAAATCTGCATTCCTCTTTCACTCAGCTGCTAAGCTCATTTAAAAGGCAGCAAACAGGTGTTTGTGATAACAATCCTTCGATAGAAACAAGTGAAAAGGTAGCAGCTTTTTAAGAGTCCTTTTATGGTTTGTGGTTTTCCTCTGAAAGATGAGTCTACTTTCTTCATATAGGTATTTTCTGAGATCTATTTGATTAATTACTTTCTTGCATAAAATGGCATCCAGTATTCCTTTCTGTCCAATCAAATCGTTTTGGGTGTATAAAAATATTGTAATTTAACCTATTTTGTTACATAATATGAGATAAAGGTGAATAAACCCAGTAAGTTTCTGCACGGGATGACTTTATACACTGTCAGAGGGTCATGTCTTCTCACTCTACCCTGTGACTATTTTTGCCAGGGGAGTGTATGTACAAGTGAGGCAGCCTCCAAACATGTACTGCCCTCCCAGAAATGTTCTGGTAATGTGCTAATTCATGGTTTCAGAGGTGTGCTTGAAACTGTCTAGCATAAACACATTATTTCACTGGCAAGATGCAAAAATGAATAGGCAAAGGCTAGACTAATTCCAGTGTAATGATATCAGCCAGAGCACAGTTTTAGAAAAAAAAAAAAAAAAAAGCTGGTTATTGCTCAGGCTTAATTCTGACTTTTCAGGTTATTAATTACTCAGTGATATTTAAAGACAAAATTGGAATTATATATATAAAAGAAAACCCTCTATAAAAAGATACATAAGTAAGAAAAAATGCAAGGATACTAAAAAGTGTATATTTACTTATCACATTTAAGATCAGGAAATAGACACATCTGAACTACATTTTGTCATTTTAGCTGCATTTAAACCCAGATAGTTCATACAAAGCACACTGAGTATAACAATGTTGAAACATTATGGACTAAACATATAGAATTTAATGTTTATGCTAAAAGTATAGAAAACTAATTACAGGTGAGACTCAGGGTTTTTTAACTATGTGACATGTTGTGAAAACTCAGGATATCAGACAGATATCAAGCATGTGCTTGCCAGAAGGAATTTGGGAAGAAAGAGATCAAGTTTCACAACAAATCTTTACAGAATCATATGATAGTTACAAGGCTGTTTCCTTGATTATTCTCAGAAACATGACTTGTCTGTCACTCCTCTATTTACATCTCCACAGAGAAAGGCTCAAATCTTTGCCAATGATACTTTGGTGTTGTCTGGAAGGACAGCATGTATATCTGAGGATGAAGAAGGGCTTGTTGAGTAGGCTAAAAGGGTAAGTGTAAGCCTGGAAGGACATTTGCTTCTTGCCCTGCCCTGGACTGCAGGTGGTAGCTGCTCAGGACAAAGTGCTACTTTTCCACATCACAGATGAATACTGCCTGGGCCATTGCTTCTGCCACAGCCTGCAGAGCCACATTCAGAGGCTGCAAATGTGCTGTTTTCTATGCTTGGAGCTGAGCACATGTGCTCTCCATTCTGGGCAGAAATATACCACTGGTAAAATGGGCTATTAGACCAAAAGAATCCATCTTGTGTGCTCCTCTGGCTCATAGCAAGTTCTTGTGATTGTGCAGTTCTTCCATGTTTTCTTACCTGGTCAATTGACATTTGACTTCTACATTTTTATTAGAGGAACACTACCAGAAAGCACTTGGTCTATCCATGCTCAAAACCTTTGTCAGTACTCCCACTCTGTATCTCAAAGTAACTTTTATTATAGGTATGCATGGCCTTTAGGAGCTTTTTCAGAACCTTGAAAATTGACAAAATAAGCAAGAAATTTCTATCACCTATATAGCACAGGAGAGATCATCAGTATCCTTCTCATTTCTTTTCCAGCATGATTGATTTTCCAATATGCTTGATTTAAAGGTAGCTTTCTGAGTCTTCTGTTGGGCAGCTGGAGAACTGCTGCAGCTACTGTCAGCTGTATTAAATGCAGCAGTAGCAAAAAATCCAGCAGGTAGTGTCACTATTTGCTGCTACTTTGCAAAGTGAATATCAGATACAGGAGCAATTTTCTGGACTGCAGTAAACACAATCCAAGCTTTCTGCGGTCAGATGTCAAGGAAGGATAACTTTAAGAAACACTTTGTCAGTAAGTGCTTTTTATCACTGATAAACCTCTTTATCATTTTTTATAACATGCAGCATGGTGTAAAACAGTGGACAGAATCACCTTTAGACTAGTGCATGTGTGGTGGCTGACTGTGGCTTGATAAGGTACAGAAGGCATGGAAAAAGGCAAGGTGAAGAAAACAGGTTAGATATAGAAGTCAGCAGAGCTTCAGTTTTGCCTTTTACATAAAGAGGCCAAAAGTGTCATGGTGTTAACACAAGGCAGATACAGAGTGCATTGATGGCGATGTTAAAAGTGCAAGTGGAAACATTGTGTCCAAAGAACAGAAAACACTGAGAGACAAAGTTTCCCGTGAGATTTGCAAAGATACAAAAAGCCAGACAGAAGAGAGTTGGCTGCTCCCAGTGAAAGTCTACAGAGAAAGCCATTGCACAAATTTATGGGAATAGCTGAGGGCGTGGAGGAAGATCATGCAAAAACTGAGGAGATAAAAATCTGTGAGGTAGGTAGTGGTAAGACATGAGGGAAATCTTGGATAGGATAAGCATTTTGAACATTCATTTTTTAAATTAGTTGAATAAACCATCACCAGTATTCTTATATGCCAGCATTTCAGATTTGAGTAGCCACACACTGCACTACGCAGGAGTCAGCAACTGGCAAAGTTGCACCTTGTCAAGTGTAAGGACAAACATCTGTTGTGACCCTCCTCAGAAGTAAAAATTTAGCACAGAAAGTATGAAGGAAAAAATTAGTGACCTACACAAGCCTCTACATGTTTTATAGACACATCTCCAAAATGAAATATCAAAGCAGCTGCCAAAAGGCTGACATTTGATGTTCCCATAGTCTGTCAGACATATGCTAGCTTGGGGCTAGTCTGAGTACCCAGCCATGTTTAACTGATCCTTTACATTGAAGTTCCACTTACAAATGAGTTCAAAGGGATTAATTGATGGTTACTATGAGATATAAACATACTGAATAAATAGCAGTGAGTATATAATTACAAGCAGACCCATGGAACACGTTAGTGATGATTGAGCATGGTACCCAAATGAATGGATAATTGTTTTATCAAGTTTCTGGAGTCTAATAGAGAGTATGATTACAGATCTGCATCTCAGTGGCTAGTCCCTTATTAGGTGCTTATATGTACTTTGGTTTTTCAGCTCCTTTGAGGGTAGCTGCTGCTTCTTTTGACTTACAATAACTGGGATAAATTCAATCTCCCTGTTTTTGATGGGTCACACAATGGGCCCAACTGAGGATCAGATTTAATGCAAGAACCTATCATTTGCCTTATTTAGAGGTAAACATACAGCACCAGTTCTCTATGGTGCATAATAGCTCTTCTATGACCTGGCCCAAAGGTAATTCTGGCTCAACTGATATTTGTGATCTGGCTGGAAATAAAGATGCCTCCTTGCTTTTAGATTTAGTTTAAAGTGCTGTTTTCAAGTGGCTGTGAAATGAACTGTGATAAGGACCTGCTTTGAGCTGTCAGTTTGCTCTGAGACAAGTTGTAACAGTCCAGGCAGAGCTGGACAGACACATAATTTCCTCACAATTAAAAGAGAAGCATTTTTCAGCCCAGAAAATAAAGAAATATTGTCATTTTATATGAAAGATGTTTATTTCAGACAATATCAACTGAATCTTAATTGAGTGTATATCAATACGCAGATGTTCATAACTGATGATATTCCTCTTTGGTTTTGTTTGTTTTCTGATTGGAAATGAAGAAAGATTTCTGTACCTGACTTTTTCCACTTGAGATTCTTGGTGAAATAACTTCTTATTGAAGCTGGGAGGCAGTCACTCTGGATTTTTTTGAAAATGAGTGACCATAAGAACTGAATCCCACTAGAGAAAGAGAAAGGGTAATTGATTACTTCAGGGGAAGTTGCCTTAGAATGAGAAGTGTAAAATGAATCCTGGGGCAGTTGTGTAACCATGTATGCCTCTTCCTTGGGGTTTTAACTGGCTGATGCCTGCCTACACAGGGTGTGAAAATTTCCACGTATCTGAAACATTTCCTCTTTAGGAAACAATTCACAACTTGTGGTTTAGTCCTTTATCCACAGAGGTTGCTTAGTGTGAGATACAGATGGAAGATGCAGTTTCAGAACTGCTTTCTTTGTACCTTACTCAGCTAGGGATATGGATTCTAGGCTGCTCAGGTTCATCTTCCAGTTTGGTGGTGTCTCCTTCTGCCAAGCTTAAGTCAGACTTGTGCCACTTTAGCTGAAGGTATCTTTCCATCAAGTCAGCTCCCACGTTGAAGACCAGAGCCAGCCAGGCCAAGCCAAAAACAATCCATATTGCAGTTAGGCTCCTGTACACAGGGATATAGTGCTTGTTGGGGTTTGTACCTGAAAAATCCAGGAAAATTTGAATATTTATCTTGGCAGCTTTGGTCTGCTAAACATACATAGTCATACACCCTCTCCACTCTTTGCAAAAGTGTCTATGTCAATGAGCTTGTGTGACCCATCAGCAGATAATGTTTTTTTTCGTGCAACCCTCAGGTTAAGCTTAGCACAGTTAGCATGAAATCCCTGAGGCCGAGACTGTATAATAAAAATAACCATATCTAATATTAATTAGGGATGCTCAAAGTCAATGGTTTCTTGAAAAAAGGAAAGAAATCTTGGAAATTAAATGTTGAATCCATATTAACTGTAGGTTATTACCCAAGAGGCACACAGAGGATCTCAGATGATTTAGATGGCTACAATTTAGTGAATCAGTGATTGCTTTTTGAAGAGTGATATTAACTCAGTACCCAGGATTCACAATCACTTGGATAATTGGTAAATATAGCCATTTTAATTAAGTAGTTATGAGAATCTTAATCCCTGGTTTGATATTTCCACAGCATGAGCAATCAGTGCAGCTGATACAGTCATGAAACTCCACAGGGCCAGATTCAGCATGGGATTCTTTATTATCTCCTTTTGGGATATAGTTATGACCTCTAGGAGAGGAAAGCTAGTATTTGTGAATAAGAAACCCTAGTGGTTTTAACAAATAAATACATTAGACATCATCTGCTAAGATTATGCATTTGTTCAAACAAGTATGTGGAAAAATAGCCCCTCATGTGTCTCTACCTCATGATGTCCTCAATGTAGAGGTCTAAAGACTATGTAATGTCATTGCATTTGTTTTCTTTCAGAGGCATACTATGGTCGTCAGTAATCTTCTCCCCATTTTAAGTACTGATTATTCAATATTTGATATGATTTGTTGTTGGGAATGGTAGGCACTTGCTAAAACAAATCAGAGTTAGGAGAGTGTGGTTCAAAGGCTTAATACTGAAAGAGGAATTTTATTTATATTCTACCTTTCACTCTTGATAATATTTGTACCAGCCTGGACACAACCACTGTTGAATGAGCGTTCAGTGGCACATGTGAAATGAGTTGGGTGACTCTTAGTTTGGCTGTCAAGAGAAAAATGCTCATATCCTGTAATACATTAGCTCATTGTTACCAGTCTGGCTGAGCTCACTCTTGACCAGATCTATAGTGGAATGGATGTCTATGCTCCCTGTATTTAGTTTTATACCAGAGTTATGAATTTCAATCCAGTTCATGCTCTTTTTTACCTACTACATAGTCCCCAAATCCAATGGTGCTCAGGGTGATGAAGGTGAAGTAAAAGCCTTCTCCATAGCTCCAGCCTTCTACGTAACTGAACACTAATGGTGGGAACACCAGGAAAAGCAAAGTCCCAGTGGTCAGGAAGATGGCCACTGCTAGTGTTTGAACCACCTGCAAGAGAAGAGGAAGATGGCATCTAAAGACCACGGAGCAGTTGTCTTGTCAAAATTGCTGTCTCTGTCTCTTGAGTCACACACCCACCCCACCTGGAAGTGATGGCTAAAAAAAGAAGGATAAACCAATGCTTCCATGTACTGCAGGTTGAGCTCACTGCTTACTCTGCACATAGATATTGTAGCTAAGCATGAAAAAAAAAATTAAAATTGGGAAGAAAGGAGGATTTTTTAAAACCTTTTCGCAATGAGTTTTCAAGAATGCTGCAGTTATATTTTCAGACTTACTATGACAGCCATTGGAATGAAATACTCATTTTACAATTTCAATTCAAGTAGAGATGGTCTTGCAGTCAACTAGCTCTTGTCTTTGAAGAAAATCACCACATACTGCATAAGTCAAGAAGCAAAGATGGGCAAGAACAAGATTGGGTTCTTTTCACTATGACTGCTTCCAAAGTTTTATAAAGTGGCTTGCAAGGGTTCAGCCAAAAATATGTTTGGATGAAACCTAAGTGAAGTTAGTTTGCCTGCTTTCATTTTTAATTAGAAGTTAAAAATGAGTTCAGAGCAGAACTGGTTTGTGTTAGCACAGGGCAGATCTGTGTCTCTCAGGACAAACATCTGCCTTCAGGGAGATAAGTTATTATGTATGTGACTGCGGTAGATAGGTACAAAGAAGCTGCCTTCAGGGAGATAAGTTATGTATGTGACTGCGGTAGATAGGTACAAAGAATGGTCAGTGGATGGTCCTGAAGGGATTTTAGGAGTTTGCAATTGATGATCAGGAACCGATGGGTTTCCAAGGAACACATTCTGGTGAACTTCTGACTAATGATGTGTGGGCTGATGCAAACTCCTTGCAATTATTTAAAAATGCCCTCAAGGGCAATCAGACTAGAGAATAATTTTCTATTAATGAGTCTATTGTGACTGGAGGAAAAGCCAAACCACTGTTTATAAAATTGAAGGTCCAGATATCATGTTTTAATTTCTCTCTCTGAATTATCTCACATAAAAAATAATGTTCTGAGCTTGAGAAACATGGCTTGAGATGACTTGGTGACTTTGACAAGTCACTTCTATATTATGTGTCATGTCTCTCTAGCTGTGTAAAAATATTTGCCTCATTTGCAGAGCAGTTTGAGAATTACTGATTGACATGATTATAGTTGATATATAATTCAGTTGTTCTCATTTATTTCATTCCAGTACTGTAATAGAGTCTAATTACATAATAAACTCTGCATAAAAATGTATATTGAAATGAACAATTTTACCTTTTAACCTGTCTTTTAAGAACTTTCTTGTATAAACCTGTAATGTTTATACAGGAGGGAACAATAAGTAATTAATAATAAAGAACTGATTGCAATTAATTTCCCAGAGCATGACAAAATTCTGTTTATAAGGATGTAAACCAACATCCTTGAATAAACTTTTCAGAGCAAACAAGCAGATACAGCTCCAAAACTTTGTCTGATCATAGGAGTTCTGTCAGAAATGTGAACTCTGAGTGAAAAGGGAAAGAAAAAAGACCATGTCCCTGAGCTGCTATCACAAATCTCAGGAAAGATGCAGCTATACTAACATGAAAATCCTTCTGGTGTAGAGCTGCGTGTGTTTATGGAACAGGCAGAGGTTATGCAGCTAAAGAATTTCGTGCTGATATAATCCAAGTCTGCATTTCACAGTACCTTTATAGCTTTCTCATTGTAGGTAAAGAACGTAGTGATCCAAGAGATTTAACAAATGTAAAAAAATCCACTTGTGTCAGAACTCTGAAATGTTTCAACATATCTCACATATCTAATCTTCCTTTTCCTTAACTAAAGGGCTTAATTCATTGAACCTTTTCTCAGAAACATGCACTAACTTTGTAATGAATGACCTTCATATATTTTCCATTATCAGTGCTTTTCTTATTAAAAATATCTGGACTAGTTCAATGACTCACCAATAAACTGTAAGTAAGGAGGGTCAGAAGGTATCTGCACTTACATATACCTTGAGGACTGTAAAGTCTCAGATTGCATTTTAAGAAAAGGAAGGAAGTGCTTAGTTACTGGCACAAACAGGAAAGTTAATTCCAGCCAGATGATTAGGCCAATAAAAATAAGTTGCCTTTGCACAGTGTAGGGCTGAACTCTGGAGAGATGCTGGCATAGGCTGGAAATAATAGCTTGATTTGGCAACATGTGTACACACACGTATTCTGCCAAGGTCACCAGGTCTATGGTTTTGCTGAGTAAGGTTTTAAAAAGGCAAATCTAGGGCCCCTCAAGCAAAAGCCTATACTTCAAAGCTATCATAGGTAGATTAAGTATATCAAGTTTCTGATAGAGAGGGACATGTAACTGCTGTGGTTCACAGAAGCTATCTGAGAAAAGAACTTTAACTTGTTTTAAAATAGTGAAAACAAATGGTAAATGGACACTGTACCTGGGCACGTCCTGGCTTTTGCACCCATCTTCCCAGGGTAAGCAGATGAGCATTGAGAGCTTTCCCCAGCTGATTAAGGAAGGCCAGGTTGAGAGGCACTCCAAATAAGGCATAAAACACACAGAAGATCTGCCCTGCCACTGTGCTGGGGGACAGGTTACCATAACCTGGAAAAACAGAAGAAAACAGCTACATGAAAAGGCTCTACAGGCAAGCTGCAGGCATCATGGAATGTTCATAAGCTTGGAAGCTCAACTATAAGCTTCAGGAACCTATGATTTTCTGCAATTAAATCCGTCTGCAAATTGCCATTGCTTATGATGAAACCTTTTGCGTTCACAACGATCAGCTGAAAATGAAACATGAAAATTATTACTATTCCAGATACTATTGTAACTTTCACTGGGTCTCTGATTTTATGGTGAGTGTGACTCAGGTTGCTTCAAAGCAACCTAAAGAAGTGTTGTCTATGTACAAAATGATCTTTCATGTAACAAGTAGGCACTCAGATTTTTGGGAGTATAAAATACTGTATACAGAAAAATAACAGGCATAATTGGAAACCAATAGAAAACCATAACCCACAGTGACCCAAGAGACTTTGGAACTTTAGTTGATTGTCTCGTTTTTCCACTAATTACACATTTCTGGGGGCTTTACAGGACAGTTGGAGGAAATACCAGTTTTTAAGGAAAGAGAGTACCTCACCTATAGTGGTGACAACAGTTCCTGCAAAAAAGAAGGAGTTGCTGAAGTCCCAGTTACTGGGATTTGTAGAGTTTCCTTCTGGGTTGACTCCTTTTTCCCATGCTTCCATGAGGACCTGAAGCAGAAAAGGTCAGAGGAGCAAAGATGAGGAAGAATGTTAGAAATAGAGATAAGTAAATACTGTTTTCCATCTCGAGCAAGCAGAGTGATAAACAGTGTAGATAATAGGATAGACTTGGACTAAAAAGAACTTCTGCTGACATGGCAAAACTTGGAAAGAGAGCTGGTCAGGAACTTGAACTCTTGTTACAGGAGAACAGGTCATTAAAGTACAATAGGTTCCCCAGCTAGACGAAATCTAAGGTGAAGGGGGTAGACGATTCCCTAAAGTGATCAAACTGGGAAAAAAATTACAGTTGTGCCATAAAAAAATAAAGTAGTTGCTCGTCTCTCCTTCTCTAATCTAGTAATCTAGTAATCTAGTAATCTTGTTCAAGTTTTTAATTTAGGGGTGTGTAAATGTATAGTTCTGTCTGTGGGCAGGGGCATGAGGAAAATGCTCATTTCTGTTTCCTCCATGTAAGTACTTGTAAGGATGAATTACTATTTTTGACTATGACTTCCATATAATTTTCAGTGAATATTAGGCTTCTCTTAGTCTGAAAGATCAACTAATAAAATATTCTCTTCTATTCCAGATAGATCTTACCAGACCAAAACTACTGTGTGCCAAAAAATTACTGTTCTTGCATCAAATATCCTGTCAACTGCCTTAATAAAGACTGTGTTCCTTTGCTGTCCCCAATGATTTGTCTGTGGGAGACTGGTTTCCCTCTGCTCAGTGGTTGGGGTTTTAGGAATCCCCTTGTTTGTCACACACCTTACAAAGGCTGAGTCACAGCCATGGTAATTTTGCAAAATGCCTGAAGGAATGACTTGTTCATCTCTTCAAAAGACTTTGTATGATGCAAGACATGAACAGGAGTCAATAGCAACCCCAGCTTTAGCTGGTTCCAGGAGTATGAGACCCAAGAAGATACTCTTTCTTGATTCAAATGTTAGCCACTTCCAGAAAGATTGCTTTTCTAGTGAACATAACCACTACAAGGTATCTGATTTGGGACAGGTTCTGCAATATTACCTGATTTGTACTGGTGGACTGAGTATTGTAAGTATAGTAGCTAATTTGATTCCTTTGGTAAAAAATCATATAGTATTGGTCAAATTTATCAGAGGGCTGCTGGACATTATCACCTGTGATGTCATGACTGAAGTGTCAGCAGAGCTTATTTTCAATATGACAAAGAATTTTGCATTATCCATTAAAAGTCTCTTCTTAGAATGAGAAGAATTCAACAGGTCAGATTTTCTAGAGTCACTTATTTCATTTGCTGCTTAGAAGAAACACACGGAAGCTACTGAGGTGTAAGTATTTTGAAATAATCACAGGTTTAATTTAAGGAACACTTGACAGTTCTATGCATTTCAATGCACAAGAGTTCACAGGAGTTACAGTCACATCATGAGAGCCAACACAGAAGAGTGAGGCAACTTGAAATGTTGAACCTTTCAGACACAGTCTGACAAGGCCAGATTTCTTGGTGTAATTGATGATGTTAAGTACAACCCCATGAAAGAACCCCATGAATGAAAAGGCATGCTGGTGCCCAACAAACAGGTTCCTGTGGGACACTTATAATGGCTCCAGGCTCCTTTCACCTACTGCTCAGGTAAGGGTTATGGCAGCTGCTGAATGGCTGGTGAGCATTAGCTGGTGCCTTTGGGAGAGAACTCGTCAGTACGTCAGCACATAAAAGCCATGTGCTGTAATTTACAGTAAGGATATGAATCCTAGATTAAGCTACAGTGGGGTGTGGAGAGAATAAGAACAGTCTGCTGTTTCTACTCCTGTCCACCTGCCAATGCACATTGCAGCCAGCTGTGGTCAGAGGCAAGTATTTCGTCCTTTTGGTCTGTATTTATATCACGTCCTTTGAGACAGAAAAAGTAAGGACATGATCAAAACACAGACTCCTTACTCAATGCATCTGCTTCTCAGTTATGCTGTCAGACTGGCATAATTTCCTGACCAAAGTATGCCTACCAGAGATGCATTAGATAAAAGAGTTTGGATTTGCACTTTCCCAAAGCTCCAGGCTGCTCATGTTAGGAGCTGCGGCTCAGAACCATCTCTCAGCTAGGTAGTTTTAGCTATGCAGAACCAATGCAATTTATTGACATGGAATTATAAGAATTTGTTTCATGCGTTATAAAAATTATAATTATAATTTAACTAATTTAATAATTAGTTATAATATAATTTATAACGAATGAATATAAAATTATATTCATGCGTTATAAATTATATTTTATAAATAGAGGCAAAAATCAATGAATTATAAGTGGTAACTCATTATAAGTGATAATAAATACACAAAAAAAATCTGTGTTGAATTTCACATTAGAGGATTTAGGTTTAAACGGGCATTAAGACAAGACATCTTATTCTTGTTAGCTGAATAGACTGAGTCTGGGGGTTGTGCCTCACTGCAGTCTAACTACTGTGACTTTTCAGACTGGAACTTGTGACATGATGAACAAACCTCCTTAACCATATAGTTAAAACATGCAGAGACACACCTGCTTCCCTGCACTAGAGATTTAATATGGGAAGACTAGTATTCCCTAATATTAATAGGAGTTAAACAGATTTGTTAACTGGTCTTTTAAGCAACATGTGGGTCAGAAGATACCTGCACTTACATATACCTTGAGGACTGCAAAGTCTCAGTACTCTGAAGCTTGGTGCTTTGTAGATGATTTGGTGCCCTCAGCTGGTTTTGTCTGGAACAGCTTACAAGTGAAATTGTGATTAATTCAGCAGAGACAGCAGCAAAATACGATTCTCTGAGTGGCACAGCAGTGGACCTAAGAAAGTTCCCTCTCTCTGACTGGAGTCAGAGAGAGAAGAATCTAGCTACATGTGAACTCTTCTAATGTTTTGAGGGTAGTGAAGATTTAAATAAACGTTTCAATCCAAAAAAGTATCACAGTTAGGTGTAGAATGAGAATCAGGGTTTTCACCTCTGCAATCACTATCAGAGAGATAAGGGAAGGACAGGAAATATCACCAACTCATGAAGGTGAAAAAAAATAGACATGTTTTTACGCATGTAAATTCTTGAAATCTCGTCATTTTCTGGCACATGTCCAAGGTTCCACAAATAATATATCACAGTATTAGTAATCAGAATATTGGCTTTGTAGATGTAGAGGTTCAGGCACCTTTTCTACCATTTCTGATCTGAATTTCACTGTTTGATTAAATCCATATATGAAGTCTGGGCTTTTTGTTGATCAAAATCTTATACATTCATGGAAGTCCTCTGACTTGGGCAGTACAAATTGTTTTGAGTTTTTATCAGTTTTAATATCACGGTAGAAAAAGTTCAAACTGTTTAGGCACTCTGCTTTGCAACTGGTTATGTGTTGAGCACAAAGAAACTCAAGGATTCAAGGTTTCAAAGTTCAAGGATTTCTGTCCAGTTCTTGTACTACTATTATGAGAATATATCTATGATACCAGGAAAGGTCTAATAAATTACCTCCAGCCAGTTTTGAGAAAAGATTAAAATGTAATTGAAGTTGTCATTAACTGATAACCCATATTGAACAAAAGCCCTTTATCTCTTCTTATAAGCAATAGATTTCACAGTTTGTGATGGCTGACTTTGTCTTTTATTTAGGCCTGGAAATGCAGGACTGCCTTCAAAGGTAGTAGACAATTTCAGAGAATCACAAGCTTGGAAGAGACATCCAAGATCATTGAGTCCAACCCAGCCCCAACACCTCAACTAGATGATAGCACCAAATGCCACATCAAGTATTTTCTTAAACACATCCAGGGATGGTGCCTCCACCACCTTCCCGGGCAAACCATTCCAATACTTTATCATCCTTGCTGTAAAAAACTTTTTCCTAGTATCCAACCTATGTTTCCCTTGGCACAGCTTAGCCACATCAAGTCTTTTCTTAAACACATCCAGGGATGGTGCCTCCACCACCTTCCCAGGCAAACCATTCCAATACTTTATCACCCTTGCTGTAAAAAACTTTTTCCTAGTATCCAACCTATGTTTCCCTTGGCACAGCTTATCTGGTTCTGTCAGTTTGCCTGTAAATTGTTGTTTTTAGTATGAAGAGGCAGAAATTGCACAGGTTTGGACGGGAGAACCTTGGAAGGGCAACCTACTTCTTTAGGTTTGATTCTTATTTTTTGTTCCCATGCATAATTCCCAGTAATATTTAATGAGGGAGATGAGAACCATGAAGTTGAAATTATTGCACTGTAGCACAAGTGCATCACTAGATGCACTTATGTATTGGGAGTTCATGACTGTGGAAAGAAACAGTTCCGTAGATCAAGATAAAGTATATGAATGGGCTTGAATTATTTATAAAGTTAGATATTTAATATCATGGACAGTGATTGGTTTATATCATGCTAGGCTACTTGGCCCCGATAGTATAATTTCTTCTAATGAAAATAATGCTTGAGCCAAAATAATGGGAACCCTTTCCTCTTACCTGTACAAACTGCTCCAGGGCTTGTCTGTCCAAGCATGTGTAATTCTGCAGGAACTTGAGCTTTTCCAGCTGGAACTGGTCCCGAAAATGTGTTTCTGCCTGCTTCTCCAGAAGCTGGAACACCATAGCACCCAGGAGGAGGTAGAAGAGGTACCCCAGTACCAGCAGTGGAGTCCAGCTGATCTGCTGGCTGTGCATGGTGAGGAGGGGCATGCTGCTGATCTGTCCTTCCCAGTCCCTGCTCAGCACTTCATAGGTTACTATTCCAAGATGTCACCTTCCCAAAACACCAGGAATCACACACCCATGTTCCCAGCTACTGCCCTGGAGAGTTTTTCAATAAAACATCAGGGTATCAGGGCTTACAAAATGAGACTAACAGAGAAATTTCATCTCTCCACATCTGTTCTCTATCCAAAATAAAGGGTGAACATTTATATCTTAATAAGACTGTGAATCATATTGTCTTTCTTCTATTAGCTTTTATCCAAAGATCTCAATCAAATGAATAAAGCCCTCTGACGCTGGTATTAGTTTCCAGTCTGGGAAGCTGAATCAAAACAGTGATTATATGACTTACCCCAGGTCATATGAATATAGAGTCACAGATAGACTCTTAAAGTCTTGATAAGTAAAGCCTTATTCTAAACACTAGACTTCTCTACAACAAAATGCTCTAAACTCTCTAATTACAGCGGACTCCCCAGAAATAAAAGTATGGAGCTGAATAAATGGAAAAGTCAATAGCTGCTGTCTGTACCATACCAACATTGCTGGCATCAGTAAAATCGGCATGGTGAAGCTTATAAACATCCTGAATTCAACTGGGTCACACAAAAGAACCACTTTCTTTTCTAGTCCTTATAAGATCAATCCCCTCACTGCCTGGCCTACTGCTCCTGAACCCTATGAGATGACTCCACTATTTATTCCACAGAGCTGGAGAATAAACCATTCATGCCTACTGCCTTCAGTCTCTGTATTTCCTTTTTAATCCAAATGCTTAAGGGGGAAGGAGGGCTTATGGTTAATCATTAGCTAAAAAAGTATCAGAGTTTCACTCATGGGAGCCTTAATAATTATCATGCACTGGAAATGAGCTGGGCTTGCATTTTTTCTGTAGGACAGGCTTTATGGCAAGTGTCATCTGTCACACTGCTTCTGAAAGAAAACAAACACACACACACACACACACACACAAAGATGGCTAGGTGGCTAGGGCTGCAATTTTGTTATTATACTCCCTTACAGTTAAAATGTTCTGGATACAGATATCCCTACTTTGCTAAGCATTCATATGGTTTTACTCCTATCTTCAAACAAGAGGTAGCGCTCACTGAAAAAGACTGAAAAATTATTTCATTCATATCTGTATCTGTAAGAATCCCCAGACTTGCCATTTGTACTGTGCTCATAACCTGGGGCCATCATCCAGAGGAGGATGACTGATAAGCAGCAGAAGGCCACTTTCCACTCTGAAAAGTGAAAACTATTGTGGATAATACCCAGGAGACCATCCCGGACTTTGTCTGGGACTGCTCTGTTAATGTAAGTAGGGGAACAGAAAGATTTCAATAGGGAAGTGCAATGTGTAAGGACTCAAAACCTTGGTGGTCTGGTATTTCTTTTCAGCTGAAAAAGCAAAACATTGGGAGATGGAAGTTATAGTAGCAGTGATATTACTGAGCACTGCGACAACATTATGAAGCAAACTGATCTAAATCAGCTGAGACATCCAGCTTATTATCACTGATGGAAGGTCTTCTCTTGTTCGGTGTTAAGGATGACATTTACTTACACAGTATCCAACAAGAACATCACTCTTGGGTCTGACTTGCATAACTAAAAGGTACAGCTTTTTATTCCATTCCCAGTGCAATGATACGGGTAGACAAGCCTGGGGTATTGCACTAGCAGGGCTGTCTCTGGTAGGAGATCCAGGTGTTTGTTACGTTGTTGTTGATAGGACCCATGACTACCAGGCCCAGAGAATGCCAACCTACTGGTTTTCTGGAATGGATGAAAACCATGGAATTGTGCACAGCTGTGCTGGGATGAATTTTCTCAGTTGAAGTACATTTCACAATTAAGGCCATGAAACTATAAGATATAAATGAACAAATACAGCACATAATCAGATTTTTTGTCCGCTTCTGTTCCTTCAGTTCAAATCAACAAAGCATGCCAACTGACAAAGTTGGCAGTGTATCATGCCTTAAGAAAAAATGTCCACTCAGACTTGCTTTTGGGATCTTAATTTTCTAAGGTTTTGCAAACTGAGTCACTAACATCACCAAAGTATGCTTATTTGCATAATACAGTATTTCCTACTGGTTCTTCCCCCTCTAGTGTCAGGCTACAATATAGGAACCAAATAAAGCCAGAATCTGTTCAGTAGCCCAGAAATGATGCCTTGCCACTGGAAAAAAGAAAGCCCAATATATACATTTTGAAGTATGGTTTTTGTGAGTTCTGAATCTGGAAGAGGGAGTTCAGCATGGCTTACCACATCAGAAATTAAATTTGGCTTCCCGATAAAAAGATATCATATACAATGTGCTGAAATAATAATACTAGCAAATTGCTTTTTATGACAGGATGACAAAGCACACTCTCTAGTCTTAACTTCTCTTGTTGCTTTTCTAATGCTCTTCTTATTAAAAAATAAACAAAACTTGGGTTCACAAACTTTAGGAATAAAAAATGTGGAATGCAAGAACTTTTCAATAGTAGCTGAATGTGGAAGTAGACTGTTCTTCCAAGGTCCTGCCTTGCCAGTGCTCCCTGCCAATATAGAATGTAAGAGTGCATCTGGTTTCAAAACTAGGGAATGACATCTCACAAAACATATTTTGCATCCAGGACTGGGCATGATCTCCTTGATTATTCCTTCACTTGTCTTTCTTCCTCAGTGTGACTGACCCAATAGGATCCATAGAAATCATAGATCATAGAAATTTTCTCATAGAAAATCTGAGCCATTCTGGAAAGGACAGATGACAACCAAAACGACATCCTGGTTTACAATATACATAATAATCACTTTTTGTGTATTACTTGGAGCAAGTCAAAGGATTCAGTGTTCTTAAATGCTTTACCTATTGTTCTTACACCCCCTAACAAATCTTGAACAAGGATAGATGTGAAATAAAAGATTGACCATAAAAAAAAAAAGACATGGTTTGCTCACTTTGCTCAATGGTTTTAAAAAGCCAGAAAAAATACCACTGTGATCAGAAGTATAATTTACATCAACACAAATAAGCAGTTTCTAAATTAAGTAATAAAATAAGTTGAAAGATATCTTGACTGCTCCTGTTATTATCAAGCTTCTGATGGAGAATGATTTTTGGACTAGTTTTTCTGGTAGAAGTGTCTCTGTACAGAAGCAGTTGTCAAAGTGGATGCAAAGATCTGGGGATTCATTCTTTCGTGTGCTAAGCATTTCAGCCAGAACAGTTTCAACAAGGAAATACTGAACTATTTTAATTAGTTTTGCTCCTTGAATGACTTTTAAACTCTGCACTGCAGAGAAGAATTAAGGAAATTATTTTAGAACCATATTAAATATAAATAAGAGAACTATTGAATTTCTTCTGGCATGACAGTTTACTTTGCTTGTCTTATAGATGGGATTTCAGAGCAAATATTGCAGGCAATAAAAATATTAAGAAAAAAATTAGAAAAATATTTTTTAACATTGATTAAAGCAACAATAAAAGCGATTCATATGATATAACATAAAACCAGTAGTTTGATTGTTGTGGTTATTAAAAATTCACTTTGAAAAGACAAACACATTATATTTAGAGCTACCAAATATGCTATATGCAACAAGGCATTTCCAGATGTTCATCCTCTTGGCATCTATATTCACCAGCTGCATGTTTGCAGCAACATTTTTAAGATCTTAACATTTTATTATGTCGAGATGCTCTCAGTTTATACTAATCACATAAAATACTTGCATCTCATGATTGATTAAACCAGGTAAGAATATATTACATTACATACTTACACTGTTCCACATGTGAACCTCATTATTCCTCTTCAAAGCTTTTTTAAAAAAAATCAGGAGTGACAGAGGGAGATTGAGTTAGGGCATGTCCATCTTCCAAGAAAGAGAAACTCAACATAAGGTTATGCATTTTCTTCTTGGAGCTCTCTGGAAAGCTGCAGTGGCCAGGAAGTGGTGAAATGCCCAAGCCAAAACCTGGTTAGCTCATGGGTTTCACTAATGCAGGTCCAGACTGTGTACAGAACTCTGGCAGATTCAACATAAATGAGAACAGACACTTGACCTTTATTAAATCTGGGTGATATCCTGACCCTCCCAGAAGCTACAGTGCTGTAACACAACAGAGGACATGCATCTTCTTCTGAAATTAACTATGTAGAAGATTAGAAATGTGTTGAAATAAAAGATGAGATGATCCACAATGTCTGGCATCAATTAATCCCAGAAATATCTGTATGCAATCTAGCACTCTAGAGCTACTTGCTCAAGAAATTCCCACCAAAAAAAGAAAAAAAAAGATATTTGGATTTATTCTGGTTGCAAATAATGAATAAATTCTATTTACCATATGAACATTGAACCAAATCAAACTAGATATCATGTGAATTGACTGAAGTGAGATGTGCATGAGGAATGCCATGCTTAGCAGTGCTGTTTTACAGGTGCCTTAGTGAAGATTGAAGACCAGGATAAATGTGGCCTCTGAATGTTTCTTCAATGTAATAAGTGCTTATTTCAAATTAATCTTGTAGTTATATGAAGAGAGATTATTAAAAGAAGGAATTTTGCTTGTCTGTGGTCAACAAAAAATTTCTTGAAGCAATAACTGCTTTCTGAAAGTCACGTAGACTTGGAGAAGAGATCCAGAAGCCCTCCAGCACCTGAGAGAAGGCCATCAAAAGCTGGAGCCAGGCTTTTGACAGTGTGGCTTGTGAGAGCAAGAGAGATAATGACAAAAAGAAAAGGTTAGGATGGACATAAGGGAAAACCTTTTTGTCACGATGACAGTCAAACTTTAGAACAAATTGCTTAGAAAGGTTATGTGGTCTCTGTCCTTGGAGGTTTTCAAGACCACACTGAACAAAGCCCTCAGCAGCTTGGTTTGATCTTGTAGCTCAAGATCAAGGCTTTTTTGAGGAACAGGTGGGATTAATGATCTGCTGAGATAATTTCCAACCTGAATTTTCCTGTGAAC